GCTCAGCCCTGCAATCGTCAAGCCATCAGTGCCATCCGCAACCGACTCTGCCGACTGTGCCATCTCTGAGCACTCGCTCACCTTGCCGTACCAGACTCCGGAACTCTCTGGCTTTTCTCCCGACCGCCTTCACGTCTCACAAACGACGCCGTAGGTAGACCCAAGATCGCCAAGCACTTCTCCGGAATGGAAGCTGCCGATATTGAAATCTGGGGACGTACTCAGCGACTGTTATCAGTCTATCCATATCCATCTCCCCACGGGGCTGTAAAGCCAGCAAGATGCAAGACACTGTCTCAAAAGAGGGTGTGTGGTGAGTGGGGGTTTGATGTTGAGGTCGACGACTGTGATATGGACACCACTCTCAGAGAGACCTCGGCCTCGGGCACCGTACACCGGGCACTCTGACACTCAAATTCTCGCCAAGTTGACTCAAGTCCGACATTAACCATGCAGTCAGAAAACACAAAGTCCCTGATAGACCTCGCCGTACAGCAACCAACAAGGCACGATTCATGCAGGCACCTGCACAGTTCATTACTGACCCCATCACCGCAGCAATATCGATACAACTTATTAAGGTTGAGTCCGGCCTGTTGTTGCTTCTTGGACATATCTTTGCCCTTTCAACTTACATTCGTCCTATTTTTGGCTACCATGCGATGGTCTCGGATACTGACGATAGTACGTAACGATAGCGGAGTCAAGTGGACGTCAACAGAGTCTCGGCGGACGTTCGCGGAGAATTGGTAGCTACCCGACGAGGGAGTACAGCATCACAATCCGATGCTGGCTTTCGGGGATGGACAGTAACACGAGTCTTGCGGTCAGCAAAAAGACATACAAACTGGGCGAGCTCGCATCAGCATCCGTCCAAGGTAGCATTGCCATATCAACGCTATCAAGACTTCGCACGAGTTTTGACAACTGTTGTTTTAACCACTCAAATATCAGCATCACCATCGGCGTATCGCACTTTTGATTTCCCATGCTGGCTGCCCCCCCAATATGCAACCCCCCAACGCATACACACACTTACATACTACAATCCCTGTCGATTCATCTTAATGCAGCAAGCCACCGTGGCGGACCCCAGAAGCTCGAGAAATCCCACAAAAATATTGGGTGCAGCCCTCATGGCTCGTATCCATCTGCGAACCAACTCATCAACACTCCAGTCACACATAAGCCGAGCTTCTTGGGCTGTATGTCTTGCAACCCAACTCATCCACATTGGACTCCTCTATGATTTTGTAACTGCTGGCAGGAATTTGGTGGCGAATGCCACTAGGTCAGAAGGAAACGCCGTTGCAAATTACCAAGGTCAGTGGCTGAGACAAGTTCGCAGTTTGGCCCCCAATCTGAACAGACCTTCGGTAACCGCTTCACCAAAACGAGATACCCGGCGAGGCGCTACCGGGGTAGGTGACACAAAATTCACAGCAAGACATTCCAATGACGAGTTGGAGCAACCGAAGAGTCTTTGGAATGTTTCCGAGGCCAACCGGCAGTCTTTGACATGACCACGTCCCGTCATCAAATTGTTTGGGATTTACTCACCTCTTCGGTCTCTGTGCGCCCACGTCTGAACAGATGCTGGATTGCTGGTTCGCATAGCACGACATCCACAACGCTGCTGCAATGCTACCTTCTCAAGACCTTGGCCTGCGTAGCTGGGTTAAATCGTCCGACATTTCTGCATCCTGTTGACTGCTCTGGGAATTGAATACGGGAGGACTTATCAAAGACTAGCACGACAAAGAGGCAGGGTGGGGAGGCCATCCCTGCAACCCCTCGAGCCCCGTCCAAGGGGGGACTTTGGTTTGGCACCGTCACGCTACCACGTCAACCTTCAGCCGCATCGCATGCTGTCAGTCAGGAATCATCACGGTCTTGGTTACCTCAATTGGATCTTGATCGTCCCACCTTCTGTTGATTCAGAAGACACATGGACGCCATGACCAGACTCAAGAAAGTATCAGATGATCCCAGTCAGCTTTCGGCTCAATAATTGAGTCAAGCTTAACAAAGAGTTATTCCTGTCCCAGGACCCTGCATAACATGCATGTGCACGCCAGACAGATGTCAGTTGTCGGATGCAGAAAAAGTCAATGTCTCATGGAAACAGAAGGTTTCAGGTACAGCTTCGACATAATTCGGACGACATCTTATCAGTCCGCCACCTACCCTGCCGCGTTGTATAATATGTATATTTTGCTTATCCAATTACTAAACGGAGCACACAGTCCTATATTTCACGCTAGCCATTGAGCGTATGTACTGTCAAAAGGGGCATCACAATCCTTCCCGTTCTCGATTTGATCTGAGAGAGGCGAAGCATATAGGCCATACAGCAACACGCTACGCGCGCGCGCGCCCACTGAACAGGCAAGGAGACTAGCTTGTTCCTGTTTCTTTTAAAATCACTGGAACGTCAAGGTTGAGCGCCACACGTAGATCTATTTCTTGTTTTTCTTGTTTACCCCCTGGGGGAAAAAAGCTTCATCTTCTGCAGAGCCCTGACGCTATCGAATTTCACAAATTTGTTATGGTTTCAGAGGTTGATGGAGAAGTCGAGAAGAGGGTGTGTGTCGACGAATGTGGGAGCTGGTTGTTCATCAATCTTCTGACCCCCATTCAGGGGGCATGAGGGAGGGGCTGGCCACTCACACCAGCTTACTTACACACACCACACCGCTTGGCGGAAATAAACAATGTCAGAAGGTTGTTGGTTTGGAATGTTGAGCAGTAAATTTGAAGCTAGGGTCTAGACGCCCTTCAGCTCTGGAAATGGGTGTGATATTCCCTCGGTTGTCGATGACAGGACAATGACGAGGAGGCACATGCTGCCAGATGTCTGGAATCATTGCTGTGATGGAAATTTCGGCCCGTTTTTGTTGATGATTTACGTACGTACATGTTCTTACGGTGAAGATAAAAGTTGGGTAGTTGTGGCTGGGGCCAAGAGAGAGGCACGTTCGTATGAAGAAGGACAGGGAAGCCACAGGATATATTTGAGTAAGAACTCGCTTGTTACTAACGAATGGGGATGGTGGCAAGCCACAAATTATAGGGGAGGGAGGGAATGGAAAACTCCGGCTTGGTGACGTCGTTGGGTTGGAACAGTCGAAGAAAGAGACGAGGTGAAGATTGTACCAAGACATCAAATCTTCCGCAGAGAGGCGGATTGAGATTGAGAGCTGGAATATGGGATGGCCTCGTTCACATGCGGTCATCTTCTTGGTCTGGCAACTCAAAAATGTTTACGGCGGGCTAGATCGTCTCTGCTGACTTGAACATCCAGCCACGTGATGACAGAAGAACAGCTGAGATGATCGACATGGCCACATACGGCATCAATCTCTTTTCTGGTTGAAGGCTCCGAATCGATTCGGGCGTAAGACGGACAGGATGTTTCTGTCAAGTGAGGCAGCTAACGGTAAGCATTCATATGGCGCGGCCGTTCGTCCTTCCGGACTCCTCGTCGGCTCTTCTGGACGACACGGACGGCTGAGCAGATCAATCCCAATAGACTCGGCATACTTTCTATCATTTGATAGTCAGTTCTTGTTTCGATGGCCGCCCTTCCAGAGGTCAACTTGTTTCAGCGGTGATCGCGGTTGACACTCGAGACATCCCCTAATCAAGCTTACAATCCCAACAATCCCAAGAACACCATCTAACTGACCATACCAACACTATATGCCGCAGGAAGATCACCTGCCTTCTCTGTACCAAGCACTGTAAAGCTCCGAGTCTCCTCCTCTATTCAAGCCAGCTTCTAAGAAGACACGCAGACTCCTAAGCAAGTCTACCTTGCCACCTACACCTCGAGCACGACAACAACCTCCCTCAATAACACCACTATAAGAACGAGCACACGAGACCTCTGAAGATACCCAACCTTCCTTCCCTCACGGTCTCCAACCTGCAGACTTCACTATCTCTCAGATCAGACGGTGAAGGCAACACGCACTCACCAGCCAGCAAGGCTACACAAGCCCCGAGTCAGACCCAAACCATCACATACGACCATACCTTCAAGAAAACTCGGCATCCCGTCCGCTCTGCCCTAGATAAGCTTGAAAGGGCCAGATCAGTACTCAGGTGGGTGACCACTGGGGAATCCCTGGTGTTGTATGTTTTCGCTGGTGCCCACTTTTTGCTTGGATTGTTGATGTTTTGACTGTGTGTTTGAAAAATTGCAAGAGTGTCTTCAAGAGGAGGTTTTGCTGAGATCCATTGGGCATCAAGCAAGAGAAGTATCGAAAGTGCATCACATACGCGCTCTTTATGTGTGTTCATGCTCAAGCTGGTTGGGCTTTTCTCTCTCAAGCTGAACATCAACCATTTCCCGCCAGGTTCCTTTTCTCCCTGATGCCTCCTCTCAAGCAGTCCAGCAGAATAATGGAAAACCTTGAATCATAAAATTTCACTCTCAAAACATAAACTCTCTTCCATGGCCTTTCCTTCTTAGCCTCCCCTGAAGGACCCACATTCATTCCCACAAAAAACTTAACCACGAAATTTTCTCAACAACTACACACCTATGATAAATACCTCAACTTTGCCGCCAAAACAACATCAAGACACATGGTTGAAATAGCCACTTCGCCCGGCTAGCTCAATCGGTAGAGCGTGAGACTCTTAAGGAGTACTCCGAAATCTCAAGGTTGTGGGTTCGACCCCCACGTCGGGCTCAATTCCCGTCTAACGACACTGCCATGTATATTTTTTCCCCCTCCTAAGAATCTTTTTTTCTTCTGCTATCTTGGACAATGGGTATACACTCTTCCTGAATTATGTTGGTTGAGCCCTCCTTTGTTGAGAGCCATGATTGTTTCATACTTGCCTTACCAGGTATGTGTGATTGACATCTGGTATACAATACATAACCATATACATCACCACATCCATCCCTTCCTCTCTTGATATCCCATTCTCCCCCTACCACCTCCTCATTCTTCCCAACCTTTCCACCTTCCCTCCCATCCCTCCCCTCACCTCATAACCCCCTCAACAACCACCTCCCACTCCCCCCTATCCACCCTCGCCCCAAAATGCGGACACCTCACCACCCTCCTAACCCCCAACTCCCCCTTCAACCTCTCGACCCGTCCCATCACCCTCTCCACCCCATATTTTGCCAAAATCTCAAACCAAGCCTGCACAGGCGTGATCTCGGTCCTGTCCTCGCCTTCTTTTTCCAACACTTTTGAGAGCCGGTACAAATTTTTTAGTGTGAGGGCTGAGTTTTCCCATTCTAGGGACTCAGTTCCCGATGATGATGGTTTGAGATTGATGCCACTTCCCGGGAAAAGCTGGGTGCGTTTGGCGGCTGTGAAAATTGATGACGGGGCGGAGGACAGGGCGAGGGATGTTGCGGTGAGGGAGTGCCCTTGGGAGGAGTGGAATGGGGGGGTGGTGACTGGGGAGGAGGTGGAAGGGGAGAAGTGGGAGGGGTGGAAGTGGGTTCTGCAGGTGTGTTCTAGTCTATTTCGAGAGACAAAAAGTCAGTAGTGGTTCAAGAGAAAAAGGCGGGGGGGGAAGACCAACGCGAGGATAAAGTTGATGGCGGTTTGGATTTGGGGTGGGGTCATGTAGGGTAGCTCGGGGGGGTGGTCGGGGGTGTTGGTGATGGGGTTTTTGGTTGGGGTGGTGATCGAGGAAGAGGAAGCAGGGGCGAAAGTTGCTGTTGTCGGTGGTGTGGGTAGGATGCTAGAGTTGGGGATGGCGGTTGCTGCTGTGGTGGCTTTCGTCACTGCTTCAAACCCTGGGGATGATAACCCGCTAACCATGTAACACGGCGCGCCTAGCACCTCGTCGTAGCCGAGCTGCATCGTCATTGTGAAGTTCATTTTTTCAGACATATACCACGGCCCTGCTACCCCTTGCTGCTGTTGCGGCGGCGCTGGCTGTGGACCTGGGAATGACACCCCGTTCCTCAACCTCAACTCGGCCTTCATCCCCTCATTCTCCACCCTCAACACCCTCCTCTCCTTGTCCACGTCCTCAATCTGCTTCCTTATCTTGGCCACCTCTTGCTCAAGCTCCTTGACATAGTTGGCTTTGCGTTGGCGGTGCTGGATCTGCGCTCGTCTGACTTGGGCGCGGCGGTGGGCGGCTTTTGATTCTGGGACTCCAGAGCCGTCGTTTCCTTGGTTGTCTGATGATTGTTCTGGGGATGAGGAGCAAAAGTTAGGGGGCTGGTACAGTTGTAGGTAGATCATAATGGTGGTGTGGTGGTGTAGGTGGTGATGAAGGGGACAGCCAAAGTCAGAGACACACCTCAGGTAAGGTGGTAGGAATGAGAAAGATTTAACAAAACCACTACACTGTGCAACTACCGTGCATAGATCGGAGTTGGGAAAACATGGTAGGGTATAAGATGATCGATGATCACCCCCCCTAGAACAACCCCCAGCCATCAAGGTCCTTCAGACCGCCTACCAAAAGACAAGACAATGACAAATCTTTCCTCCCCAAATCCGAACCCGACAGCAACCCTTCCCCGCAACATTTATATTGAGCCGCATCGCATGACAGGTGTGTAGTGACAAATACTTCTGACCTTAAACAAAACAGCACTTGCTGTGGTAGTATTCATGTACGTAGGGGTTGTCAGGGAATCATCCCACAGAAAAAAAAGAGAATGGCAACTTACCACCACCGCTACCAACAGCCGACCCCCCCGCTTCTACAAACTTCACCTCCTTCTTCTTCCTCCCCTGCCCCAAAGCTAATTCCTTCCCTTTTTTCCAAAACGAAACGAACGATGGTCTGTGGGTGTTGTTGTTGTGGGTGGTGGTGGTGTTATCGTCTTGTGGGGGGTGTTGATCTGTCATTGTTGTTGGCTGCCCTAGGTACTCTCCCCGAACCAGCCAGCTAGCTGTTTTGATCAATCAACCCAGAATAGAATGTATTGTCATTAAAGTCTCCCAATTCTCAAGCCCACATCCGTCTGAACAGGTGGTATTGATGTAGCGTTGAAGGATGCAACCATACCTTATACTGAGTTGGTCAAAGATGAATGCACCACCATAGATAGATAGGCATGCTCCGTTCTGTACGAACCAAACCTCAGATTCTCAAACTTCAGAAAGATGCAGCCATCTTCCACCAAGTAAAAAATAAACATAAAACACAACATGTAACACAGCCCCCAATCCTCAGGTACGGTCTGTGGCCTTGTAGAGTTGGAAAATAAACTGGCCTCCTCGCCCCAGACCAACATATCTCTTGGTTTATTGTAACACGTCGATCAGCGCCATCCCGATTAGCCGTAGTCTACCCAAGGCTGATTTGGTGAGCATGTGGTCCAATCAGCCACGCCGCTCACCTCTACCAAGAACTGAGCAATCCCTCCAAGTAGAACAATGTCATCATTCTACGTACGGATATTCTAACTGTACCCTCCTCACAACAACAACAACAACCACAACAACAAGGCATCTCAACAAGCTCTATTCACTCCAACTACAGTTCGCTCCATGATGACCGAAAACAACAGTCTATCACCAAACAAGAAAAGGAAAAAAGACAACAAAAACATACAATATCAATAACGCCGCTTCCGATGCTAATCCCATAATGCGCCCCATCCCTCCCTTCCGAAAAAAAAGAGCAATAACCCCCCACCATATCCCATATCGAAAAAGACTACTTTGGTGCACAAAAGCACCCTCCCCAACGCCAGGTCCATGCATACCACCGCTTCACATCTCCCCTCTTAATCCGCCCTCTCATCATCAGTAGCCGTATCCTCCTCAAACAACTCCTCCCTATCCTCCAACTCCTCCTCCCCCATCTCACTCTCCTCCTCACTCCCCTCCTCATCACTATCCTCCTCCTCTTCATCCTCATCAGTAGCCTCCGCCCCCGGCTTCCTCAACACACTAATCGGCGACCAAGTAACATAGTTATTCTCCAGATCTAACCACCTTCTCGCGATGGGCAGCTGAAACGGATCAAACGGGAAACAAGCCTCCAAATGCGTCCACTTCTCATTATCAAACTCAAACCCCGTGTCCCTCAGCGCGCCGCCTTGGGCATAACTCCCAGTGTAAAACTGCGAGAGGTGAATGCTCTTGTTTTTTTCGATTTGGGGGTAGATGTACATCAGCCCAAGGTGGTGAGCAAGTTGGGCGAATTCTTCGACGATGACGGGGGAGCAGCATTTGAGGGGCTGGTAGGGGGGTTTAGCTATACTGAGCTGATACTGGGTGATAAGAACAAGAAACTTACATTGAGCTTGCTGGCAATATTGGCGTGCATTCTCTTTTTGAGATCTGGCATCCAGGGCAGATCTTGTCCGAGGAACGACGCCGGATCGTCCCAGTCAACGTTGTCTGGGAGTGCACCCTGGTCGAGGAGATCTCTCCACCGGAAGCAAAAGATGTAGAGCAGCCCTTGGAAAGAGGCGCTGAGAAATTGTTAGCCTCTGACAAAGAAATCAAGGTCTGCAGAGAGAACCTACTAGTATAATGAGTACCGCCGCACGTCCGGACCACGACAGTGCCTGTGCGTCTCCCGATAGTAGTCAATGTAGTCCAAAAGACAAGACACAATCAACTGCACAGTGTGGCTCTGAACTCTGGCACCACGAGCAGTAAAGCTTGCGAGATACGCTGCCGCAGCCTGTTTGATGACTGGCGCCTCGGTGGAGGAGAATCTGCACAAGATCAGCATACCGCCAACAAACAATGGCCAAGAACCCTAGACTTACGCAACAGAGAGTAGCAGGCCAAGAAACATCTCCATGAGTTGATCAGACTTCATGGCAAACTTGAACAGCAAGTACTGCGTATGGCGGGATTTGAGATGCTGAAGCGTAAACGGTCAGCACTCAACCACTGGATTGTCAGGTCACGAAGCCGGCAGAGTGTAGACATACCGGCAGAATGACATTCTTGAAATCGCTCAAAAGATTCTCGAAACACGCCACAGCCTCGTCGCTGTCCGGTTTCTCAAAGATGGGATCGTAGATGGAAAACACAAGGTCCATGATCGCATCTAGTGTCTCCAGCTTGTTCTTGATTTTTATCACCCGCTTTGTCTCCTCGGGCAGATCATCGTCATCGCTCATTACCGACTCGTCGTCGCTTTCGTCATCCTCCTGGTCATCCTTGGCATCAGTCTGGATTGATCGCATTACCGCCCTCGTGGTATCATCTTCATCGTTTTCGAGATCGAGTGTCATCTCCACATCAAGCTTCACCAGCTGCGCGAGGATGAGCTCCATGATATCTCGTTCCAGATCAGGGCGGGAGGTCTTGAGTCGCAGAAGATGATCGATGTACGACATGTGGACCGCCTTAGGCTCATCTGTGTAGGGAAACTTGGAGGTAACAAGCTTGATAATCATCTTGGACCCCGCCGGAAACAGATCCAGCAAGTACTTGATTCCAACATGCAGCCGCTTCTTCCTCGTCTCCAAGTCAACAGGTGGGAATCCAGGCACAGCCGAGGAACTCTTCGTCTCGACGAACTTTTCAACCATCATCCTGAGAATCTCGGCGAAAAACGACGCTTGCACCGACGAAAGCGCAGCCAGCAGCTGAATATAGGCCTTGGCGAAGTTCTCGTCCCTATCCAGCCAAGAGCACCGAAGAACACTTCGAACAAGACCCGTGCATGAACGCCCAAGCATCGGTACATAGCCAGTCAAGGCGACTACGTAACCCAGCAGCTCCTGGTGCCTCGGATCCTCCTCATCCTCGTCGGGACTGCTGTTCCTGTTGCTCGGCGCAAACAGGTCCTTGAGGTTGTCGTAGTCTTGTTCGTCACCGCGGGCCTTGCCCTCGAGGGCCTGTCTGACCTCACGCTTGGCGTCTTCAAAGCTCTTGCCGCTGATCTCCCTAACCATATTCAAGTTCTCATTGAAAACGACCGTCTTCTTCTGCCTTTTCATAGGGTGCTCCTCCTCATCGGCTCCATCTGAATCGTCGGCGCGGGATCGTGTGCCCAGTACGGATGCTGTTGGTTTTCTCAGGATCGGCTTGATTGGCGACGAAGCCACAGTTGGCGCATAGGCCAGGCGCGAGAGGGGGGTATTGGTCGTCATTTTGTGAGAGAGGTCAATGTCTCTTTTCGAATAACCGGTCGACGACACCGGGTTTGAGGAGGTAGGTGCTGTTCGGAGGAAGGTTGGTTCGGGGAGGCGAACCGGACAAGATCAAATTGATCGTGGTCAAGGGCGCGTTAACCTTTTGCGTGACGTGGGGATTTACCAGAGGGTTGCCGAATCAGCATAGTTGTCGCCTCGTCCCTATTTTGAAAAGAGACAAAAATGAAGCTGTGATCTCTGCCAGCCAGCAGTGTCTAGGATGTCGGTTGCTGGGTTGCCTGGTCGCTGGCGATTCCTCAGCTTTTCTGCCACTTCAAACTCCACCTTTGTTGCTGGAAAAGTTGAAAAAGGCTGGTTGAACTTTTTGCGGTTGAAGGGTCTTCCCCGCTAGTGGCACGTGCGCGGTGGATGCTGCGGGGCCCAATCAGGAAGGCGGTCAGTCTTGGAGCAACCACCCTTGACCGAGTGACAACACTCGCCGAGCATTATATGGGAGCACTGGAAGGTGAGAGAAGGTGAGGGCGACAAGTGAATAATTGATAATATCATTCACTTCGAGCTTAGTCAACTTTACAAAATCAATTACAGCTAAATCAACCCATCCAAATCAACAAACCAGAACGGCCTACAGCAGTGTCAACGTCAAGGGGAATCTAACTGCTGCCCACAAAAGCACAAAACGCAAGACCTGTCCTTGTTTTCCCAAGCCCTTACCATCCCGCCAAAACCAACTTTGTCCTCATGTACCTTTCGGCCAGGGCTCAGATGTCGGCTGTCTTTTGCAGAACACCAAACCAACTCCTCCCAACCGAGTGTAGATACTCATACAGATAGAAAGAAGAAAAGCATTGGGCACAGGTCCCAGAAATCAAGGGATTAATACTCCCCAGGTGCACCGTTGTGACCTGGCTGAGCTCCGTAGATGTTGTAGCCTTGGGCATCAGCGCCCTCTGGCTGGCCTCCGAGATCACCACCGGCAAAGCCGCCGCCAGGATTCGACTGGCCTGGCGCACCGTAACCCTGGCTGTTTGGTCTGTTTTGTTGGCCGTCGCGGTTTGATGTCGACTGCTGCTGTGGTTGAAAAAAGGCACGGTAAGTAACGGCTCACACTGCAATCAAGTGGCTCTCGAGCAGGAAACCCACCTCTCTGTACTTGGACAAGTAAATCTTGAGTGCTTCGGCGTAGTTCTCAAACCCAAGAGACGTCATGGCAAACAGAATATCCTCGCCGTTCACCGTCTTCCTTTTCTCTTGGTGGCACTTTTCCGAAGCTGTGTGTGATAGGTCAGTTCCAACTGAACTGAACCACATCCTCATGTATGTCTCATGGACCGGTGGCAGGCTTACCCTCGCTTGTAATGAACGAGATGAACTCGCTAACGCACTCTTGCATGCACTCCTTCGCCTCCTTGGCTATTTTGGCATTCTCGGGGAGCGCATTCTTCATGATGCGGGCGACTGGCGCAAAGTTTCGTATGTTAGCATCGTATATATCAGCCTTGTCCGTCTTGGACGACGACGAGGAGGCGCGAGGCGCTTCGGGCGACTCGGGCGGCGAATCGCTAGACATATAGCCGTCGGGGGGGAGGAGGGACGGCTGTCTCTGATAGGCAGGGCAGAAGCGACGCCAGTCAAGGAGGGGATCCTGTCGCCATGCAAGCGTGCGAAGCTTGAATGGGAGAGGTCCACGACAAGCGCAACATGCGAATCATGGCGAAGGGGGGGAGGGGAAGCAGCAGAGAAGCTCAGAGAAGCAGCTTCGAAGGAAATATTGACTTACCATTGGCTATGGGTAACCATCTGTCTTGCTCTTTAACATCAAACTCATAGGCGTGGCCGCTCGAGAGTGGGTCCTGAGGGTCGTTCATTTGTGCTTCGTCCTCGGGTGACGGTGCACCATGTTCAACGTCCTTTGAATTGGATTGGGGGGAGTCGGACATATTTGGCTACCTGCAGCGGCTGCTGACTTCTTGTAAATTCCTTGGACTGCCAGCTCGCACAGGTGGAATAGAGTAAGGTGATGTGTCGTTGGACACGTTGCAGGGTGGTAAGGCAAGAGACCCTCTCGGCTTGCGGCTTAACCTGCAACAGACTTGCGTCAAGCGGTACCTCTCCGCGCGTCACCCTAGGCCAGGCTTACTTCCTACAGGTTTTCCCTGCCCGATCTTCAGGCTGTAACGGAAGCCTGGGAGGCGGGGGAGCGCTGTCGAGACGGTGGTGGGGTGGAGGCAAAGGAGCAGGACGGGGGAAGGGGGGCAAAGAGGGGGTGAGGCGGGGGGGCTATGACCAGATGACAGCCGGCAACAGGAGCCCGGGATGATACTGAGAGCAAGCCCGAGTGAAGGGAAAACGGCGTCGGCCGGAGACGGCGGCAGACGGACACAAGGATGGGATAGGTTTTCCTGGCGGGTCCTACCAAGAAACGGCCCTCTCTCCTCTAGCGCAAGTCGCAGTTGGATGGAGCCTTCTGCACAGGAAGCTGCCGTGATGTAGGCAGAGTGCTAGGCTCTCCGTGTGGCCGGGTTTGACTACAGATGTTCCCCGTGGTGGTGGTGCGCGCAGGCAGTGTCTCTCTGTGCTATGTGCTATGGAGTCGCGGTTACACCAAACGGCGATGCGATGGCAGTGGTTGGCTGCTGCGGTGTCGGCACCGGACAGGATAGATTGTTGCGTGCCTCGTGGGATGAGTGCTTCTGCAGAGTCGCGTTAGAAAGCGGTGCGTGCCCGGGGGGGAGAGGAGGAGAGGAGTGGAGAGGAGAGGAGAGTGGATGGACGAGGGCGAAGGCTTCGGTGACGGGACGCGATGCGCTGCACTGCGCTGCGATGCCATGCCATGCCATGCGAACACGGGGTACGGATAGATACGTACCCAAGGTTGCGCCGTGATACTTGCTGCTGTCTACTAATTAACCGGGGCTGTTTGCAACTAGCTCGGGGGCGCGGTGGTTTCCTAATGGTGGTGTCTGAGTTGGCTGTAGGGTCGAGAAGTCTTCGCCTTGGGTACGGTGATGCATGGAAAACTGGATGCAAGAGGGCTGCAGCACGCGTGGGGTTCGGTTGTGGGAGGAACAACCTGAAGGTCGGGTGAAAAGAGGGAATGTGGAATGCGGGTGAGGCGGGTCCTCCAAGCGAGAGCCACCCCGGTCAGCCCCAACACCCCCAGCACCATGACAACAAGCTCCATCGCCAAGAAGCCGCCATTATCAACCACACGTCTGCCAAACGCCCGCCCGCAGCAACAAGTACCGGCTCTCTACTCTCTGTTGTTGATAGAGATACAGAATACTAATCTCTTTGCAATATGCTCGTGTTCGGTCCGCGGGATGTAGGGATTCAATACGACCTATGTACTGCAGCAAGCAAGCAAGCAAGCAAGCAATAGTCCTGCCGCAACACAGACTTGTTGCTGCTGCTCCATTTCCCACTTTCCCAGCCCGTCAAGAGCGGTGAAAATCAGTAGTGTAGTCCATGTGCTCATCCTGGAGCTGATGGGACCCAGGCCGCATAGTTCCTTGGTTTTCCCAATCCCATCACAAATACACTCACATCTCTCGGTCAAAGATCTGTAACATGCGGTCATGCCGTGGGTTCTACTGTCGCCAAGGGTTCTCTTGGCGCAGCGTGGGTTGGAAGATCAGGGTGTGGTGTACGCTCCCAGCTCTTGATTCGACAATGGCTGTTGTCACAAGTAAACACCCAGGCAGGAACGGAACGGGGGGGACGACGGGAGCCTGATGGGGCCGAGATGGCGGCTTTGGGCCGAAAGGCTGGGTTGACGTTGTGAGACTGCGAATGACTGGCCTGTATTTCTCCGGCCGTCCTGGAAGCAACACCGGAATCCTCAGCGAGGCTGGGAACTTCATTAGTGGTCCAAAATGAATGATTTGTGAGCCAATAACAGTCCAGAGTTTCAACTGGCGCATTTCATTGGAAGGAAATGTTTGTTTTAGAACTGTGAGTATCCTTATTGGCCAGCACAAAAGATGACAAGCCGTGACATGATTAATCTCGAGGGGGGCTGGGTGGACTGACAATCACCACCGCAACATAGAAAACGCTGGTGTGTCAGATCATACTTCCGTTTCGAAGGATGACGGCCACACCTGCTCTAGACAGACAAGTTTAAGCAGGTTTGGGCATGGCTGTGTGAATATTGACATATATGCTGGCCCACCCAGGTCGAGTAGTTGAGCCCCACACCATCAACGCTGATGCCAATCCCATCGCAGCCCAACCGTTTCTCAAGGCTCCCCGCAGCGCCGGTTGGGCAGCCCAAACCCACCCCCGCCACGGGGCTGCAGTCCCGAGAGCAAAGGCATTTGTACAACTCATCACCACACCCTCCGGGGAACATGAAGTTTGATGTTTAGGGTGTCATCAAGCTGTGGTCATATTGCTTTTTTTTTTGATCAATATGATCTCACAAGGCTCTTGAGGTGTCTTGACAGAGGGGCGACCTCAGGAGCTTGCCATTGCGTGCCGTGTCGTCAAGCCCTTCATCCTTCGAGGACTCCTGATGACATGGCAGGTTCCTGGTGTTTATACGACTACACGGTAGTCCTTTACCTCATCACTTGAGTGACTCATGACTGTACCACTTGGACGTTGTTCTTTTTCTGTTAGGAGGTTAGCGAGAGTGATCATATGAGACTTCATTGAATTCACATACCTTCCACTTCTCTAGCTCATCTTGTTTGGTCTTGTACTGCTTGACCAAGTCGTCCAATACCTTCTTCAACCCCTCCGCGTTTGTTTGCAGCGCAGGGATCACATCCTTGACGGTCCGTTCCACCAGCACTCCGTTGATCATGCGAAAGCACTTGCGATCCTCTGGGAGTGGTTGCAAAGTTTCGAGAACAAGTCTATATTCAGGGTGTTGGGTATTAGTGACTAAGCGGTGAGGACATCGTTTGAAGCGGTGTGGTGATGTGACGCAGGTCCCGAAATAGATCGCCAGAGAAAAAGTTCTCACTTGTGTTCTTCAGCTTCTTGCTCGACATCACCGATTTTCTGCGCAATTTGCTGCAGGGTGTTCTTGTAAGTGCTGTACTGAACTTGGAGGTCTGGCAGGAGTTGAGTCAGTTGCCATTCTTAGCTTATGGTAGATTCAAGGCCTGAACTTGCCTTGTTGCCTCTTGGCTGGAGCTGCTTGTGTCGCCATGATGAAGTCGGGATCTGAATATCACAGCTTCGGAGCCAAATTTTTGATATTGGATGCGGTTGAGAAGTCGAGACGGGTGATTGGGAGATCGACTGCCGTATGAGATCCATGCAATCGATCCTGGAGCCTGGGCCCGCTTGAACTCCAAGGCAGATCCACTGACAAATGGCCCGAGCTTTCAAACCTTGAATTGATTTAGAAAGACATCCAGAAATCGACGCTGGCTTCTCAACTACATCGTACAAGCACACTTCATTGGCGCAAACGAAGGACTATTACAGCACAAACAACAGCCACAATGCATCCTCTTCTCCATACCAAAGACAACGTCGGTAGGTTCTCCTGATCTAGCGTCATTTTCCATCTTGGCTGAAGCGTCTTTCCCTCGCAGCGTGCAAAGACTTGATGATCGCACTCGAACAATGCCATATGCGGGGCTTCCTTTGGAAATCCATGGGCATGTGCAATGACGCCAAGGAGGAGCTCTCTGCCTGCCTGAGGGCAGAACGGTGGAAGACTCAGAGCTTCAACCGAAGTGGTGTTGCCAACAAAAAGGACAAGATTCGGCAAGCCTGGAAGGACGTCGACGAAAACTCATAAACTCGAGAGCAAATCGACCCTCGAACCGAATGACAGTCACAGGCTCCCGACCGTCGATTTGAGAACAAGAACTGCGGCACCCACCAGCCCCAGCTCCGGAGGGAACACATCGCATCACAAGCGTTAGAGATACGGACCATTGTGCGATACGAACAACACTTGCGGTCTGTATAACATGGCTATAGAAGGACACTCTCCACACAAGAAATCGGGTTGTACATAAGGTTATTCTTGTTATTTTTGGCACGCCTTTCCGACTACCCCTTTTCAACCCCCTTTTTACAAAGTGCGACGGAACGCGTCACCGAAAGTAATCAAGCCGTATGTCGCAAAGAGCGACAACATGACGGGAACGGGCTTCCGGAGTCTGATCGCACGAGGAATCGAAGCGCCGCCGAGGACGACGGAAGCTAGGAGAGCGAGCTCCAAGCCCAAGGGCTGGCCGTTCTGGAGGCGGTAACCACCAAGACCATCTGGGCATTACGGCGTCAGCAACCGGTTGCCTTGCCAGGCTGAAGAAACAATCAACTTACACAAAAGACCGACAGCAGTGCCCGCGGCAACGCTAGGGACAGATTTTGTCTTGACGTATCCGATGGTGCCGCCGACAGCTGTCAAAGCCGAGAGAACGTAGGCGGGAAACTCGAGACCCTACCGACCCAGTCAACAAATGCGCAAGGCCGCAGATTATTCCACACAATGTCCGTACCATCTTTTGTGATTTTTGGATGATGTATTTGTTGTGACTGGTGCTGTGTCGTTTGTTTTATGTGTCGCTATTCAGAAGGCTTCGGAACTCTTGGGAAGTCCGCCGCATCCATGGAAGCTGTCCAGAGTTGACGGAACGAGCCGAGGCCAGAGAGGTGGGGCGCTCCAAGCTTCCATTTCGTCATGCTGAAAGGGACTTGTTTTCCGCTTGGGTTTGCGTTACAGCCGAGGTAGCCCTTAACAATTATTGAAATCTCGAAACCAAGAACGGTGCTTTGCTCTGCTCTGCGATCAATTCTGAAGTTCGAACATCAAGATTAATTCCCCTCTGTCTACTCTTCTTTTTGAGTTTTTCTATATCAGACCGATATATAGTCCGTCAGTTTCCCAAAACGGCAGAGGGTGCGAACAAGACATCTACAAGTTACCCCACAAAGACAGAAATCTTTTTTCAAACCACCATCGGCTAAACTTCAATACTACTTCCGCATACAAACTCCAACAAATCATCCCAATAGGTCCGCTGGCGTAATGGCAGCGCGTCTGACTACGATTCCATCAGTTAATCAGGAGGTTCCAGGTTCGACCCCTGGGCGGATCGATTTTTGTGGTTTTTGATCTTCCACACCAAATCACTCTATGGACAGACTT